TCCCCCGGGCCAGCCGGCTGGGGGGGGCTGCCGCGGTGCGGGGGAGCCGGCGGCTGTGCCGGGAGCGCCAGGACTCACCCCCCTGCTGCCCAGGCCTGGCAGGGACCAGAAGACGACCATCTCCCCCCGGCGAAGGAGCAGCTTCCTTGGCAGGACCCGAGTCATGCAAACATCCGCTTAGGAAAACCTTTATTAGTGCTAGGAACCGTCTAAAATCCAGTCACTGAAACAAGCGGGGTGGGACGCGACCATGACGAACGGCGCACACACACACCAGTTTGCCCTTAGAAAAGGTTAACAGGAAAAAAAATAAAACCAAACCAAACCCAAACAGGACCTCTCTTCCCCGCCAGCCTGGGACGGGATAGGGATGAGGAGCTGCGGGGGGAAAGGTGCAGCTCCGAGGAGTCCGGCCTCGCTCCGGGGGGGATCGCCCACGCACAGGGACCAGCAGCGCTCGGGGAGGCGTCAGGTCCCCGGCTCTGCCTGGCCACAGCCTTCGGCAGCGCCTCGCCCCGCTCCCCCAGCAGCAGGGGTTACTGGAGGGAGGGACGGAGTTATTTGTGGCCTGGGAAAGAGGGAGGGAAGTGCGCAGTTTCCCTGTTCAGCTTCGTTTCTCTCCCTCGAGAGAAGAGGTCTGAAAGAAAACCCTGAAAGCTCAATAAACCATGACAAAACACCCACAGCGTCACCTCGAGAGCGCCCGGCCCTGCGCAGCCAGCACCCGGGACAGACGCTGGCCTATGCCTACAACAGAGGGTGGGGACAAAGACAAGATGCTCAACATGGCCCCAGCAAGCACCAGGGAGCCGCTTCGCTGCTTACGGACCTGTCCACACATCAGCGCGAGGGGGGACCAGCCAGGGAGGGTGTCACCGGCTTTCCCGTGTCACCAGGGGGGGTCTGGGGGAGGGAGGTGACAGCAACGACTTTGTCTGCACTGGGGGCAAGCTTTCTGCCAAGGCTCTCATCAGCGGCTGCGGGGAAGGAAGCCAGAGCCGCTCTGGTGATGTCAGCCCAGACAAGAGGAGAAGCAAAGGGAACAGGCCCAGCCGGGGAGGGACCCACGGCCCGAGCCCCTGGGGAGGGACAGCAGCTCCCACACCCAGCCCTGGCCGGGATGGTGGGCACAAGTGTGGGCACTCGGCCTCTCACCGGCTCCCTCCGCATGCTCAAACCGCGGAAGAGCTGCAGGGACTGATCCTGCAGCCCTCAAACGGTGTCACCCAGAGCACCCGAGGCTGGAGGTGGGGTGGGACACCAGAAAATGAGATCTGCCCTCAGTACCCCATCGCCACAAATCCCTCACGCTGGCGGGAGCTCACAGCTCCCCTCTGAGCTCCTCAGCTCCCCTCTGCTACCGAGGAAGCAGCCCACCTTCACCTGCCCCGCACGCTTGCTGCTAGAAACCTTCCCAGCCCGCACAAGATTCCTACGTGAGCAAAACCAGAAATCAGCCTTTGCCCTTGGGGTCAGCGCTCCCCTCCGGCAGCTCCGACCCACAGCCCCGCACGTGTCAGCAGAGCTGCCCTCCTGCCTGCTCGGGCACGGCGGCACCGGGAGGAACGGCACTGCAGAGGAGAGCGGAGAGCCATGTCACGCCATGCCACGTCACGCGGGCACCGGTTTTAGGGTTCTTGGGGACAGAGGAACAGCTGGGGGGCAGGTGGCACAGCCCGGCTGCTCCCAAGGCTGGGCAAAGGGCTGGCTGCTGTCCCCCAGCTCGGCGCCGCACCCACAGCCCGGCCGCTCAAGGCCTGGCACAAAGCCCACTCGCTATTTTTATGCCCGGCATCCGTGTTGTTTGAAGCTGTCCATTTTTTTTTTTTTTCCATAGCCCTCCCCTCTCCCACCCTGGCTTAGAGGCGACAGCAATAGCAACACACCCTCCGCTGCCACGGCCTGAGCCCAGAAGGCATCGGCTGCACTACGATGGCCCTGGGTGCGGGGTCCCAGCAGCTCCCATACAGTCTGGGGGGGAAGGTACAACCCCCCAAGGATGCCTGGCAGCATGCGGGGGCCAGGCCACGCTCTCCAGACCCCTGGTTCTGGGAAGAGCTGTTACCGGCCATCTCTGCCCCCCCTCCCAGGCCTGCTGCCCCAGCAGGAAGGTCTGAGGGGCTCGGGGCAGAACGTTCCAGTAAATGCAATGGTTTTTATGCTCTGGGGTCTCCCCATCTTTATTCCACAGCCGCCAGCTGCCCAAAGATGGGGAGAGCACGACTCCCAGTGCAGCTTCTCAAGCTGCTTGTTTCGTGCTCAGAACAGTAAAGTCTGCCCCGGGGCACAAAACAAGCCAAGCCTGGTGGGAAGTCTCATTTTCTTAAAAAGAAGGGATTTTAAAAGAAATGATTCATGTTTGGTAACTCCTCTCACCCTCCTCCCCCACAGCCGCCAGCTGCCCAAAGATGGGGAGAGCACGACTCCCAGTGCAGCTTCTCAAGCTGCTTGTTTCGTGCTCAGAACAGTAAAGTCTGCCCCGGGGCACAAAACAAGCCAAGCCTGGTGGGAAGTCTCATTTTCTTAAAAAGAAGGGATTTTAAAAGAAATGATTCACGTTTGGTAACTCCTCTCACCCTCCTCCCCAGCTATAAATGAGGCCGAAACTCACCCTCGTGCAGAAATCAGGTTCAAAGTTCAGCCAATTTGTGTGGGCTACCGACAGCCCCATCCCCCTCGGGGGGGGTGACAAAGGCAATTCAACTCCCTTTGCAGAGCTGCCACCACAGAGCCCTGCGCCAGGGCTCAGTCCGGCTCCTGAAGCCCGGGGTGAGCTCGGGAGCAGGATCCTGGAGGAACAGCTCCAGGCGGGGGATGGCCCAGGATGCGTTTGGTGACAGAAGGACCGGGTATTGCATGGCCTGAGAGGACTGGTGCGCAGGCAAAGGAGCTGGCTTGACTCAAACGGGCCGGAGCAGTTTCTCAGCAGGCTGAAGGCAGCGAGTTGCTCTCCACCTTCAGTCCCTTGCTGGCCAGGAAGGCGTCCTGCTTGGGCTCGCGGCCTAGGAACTTCCTCAACATGTCGGAAGCATCCAGGGAACCGCCGGGATGCAGGATGCAATTCCTGTAATCCATGCCCACCTGCAAGGACAGACAGGGATACGCATAGGACAGCCGCCCTCCCACCAACGCTGCCGTCTCCTACCACCTCCGGCAGGGGAGGCAGCCCTTGGCAAGAGCCCGGCGGCACAGCACGTCCTCCCTACCTTACAGTTCATGATCCCCTCCTGCTTGAAGCGCGTGTAGAACATATCCATGGAGTACACTTCGCTCCAGAGGTAGCCGTAGTACTGGGCGTCGTAGCCTCCGGCCAAGTGGCCAAACGTAGCGGGCATGTTTGTACCTTTGTGGCAAAGGAAGGGGAAGAGGCGTTAACGGCAAAGGCTGCTGGAACTGCTCACAGCACGGAAAAAACCCCTCCGTGCCGTAAACATGTCAGAGCAGGCACTGGGTCAGCTTGTTCACAATCCCAGGGTAAACAGGGAAGAACTTTCCAGTTATTTTTGTATGGTTTCAGCCCTGCTTTTCCTGGAGCCAGCAGAAACTGTCCCCACTGAGCCAGCCCAAAGCCCCAGCCTTGAAAAGAACCTGCTGAGCCAAGCTTGCAGGCCAGGCCTAAGAGAGACAGCGACAGCGGGATCCCCCAAGCCCCTGGGTACCTGGGGTGGCGGGGACACCCAGCACCTCTTCACACAGCCGGGCAAACACCTCCACGGGGTCGGCCTTTGTCTGGGTGTGCAGCGCCTGGTCCACCTTGGCCAGGACGATCTGACGCAAGTTGAAGAGCCCTGTTCCCAGGAGGAGGAAGCAAACTCAGCATCTCGAAGCCAGGTCGCAGCAGGGCAGGCTGGGGGGCTCCCCACACCCAACTTCTGAGCCGCTTCCCCAGCCCAGCTCA